TTTGTATTGACGTGACTTTTAAATGGTACTAAGCTCATGCTCAGTGGCTTAGGAAGTGAAAAGGGGTTTGGAAAGGCCGGTCCGTTCATGACGGCACTTTTTAAAATCTTTCTTGTCGGCGCCAAAATATTCTGAAGGCTCATTCAACCAATTACCGTCATCCTATCGAGCTGAAACTTGGCACTTAGACTCGTGGCCAATGACAACGGTCTCTATCGAAATTTCAGCTTTAAACCCACCCCAAAAAAAATAATTTTATCCTGTTTTGCAAGATTAAGCTACCCACTTACCGTCCATCTATTGATCTGAAACTTGACACATGGACTTTTTGCTAATGCAACTAATTTTTTTGTGTGTATTATTATATCACCCCTAATATCCCTAACTAACCTCAGAAAACAAAAATCGCTAAGTTACAGACTGCTCGTCACCCCTTTGAGCTGAAACTTAGCACATTGACTCGTTGCCAATGACAACACAACGTAAACACATTTTGAGCCGCACCCCTCAACCTCGAAAAATCAGTTTTTTTATATTGTTTTTCAAAGGGCTTTGTGGCGAAATCTTCGGACCCATTTGTAATCATCACATCGAGCTGAAAAGTTACTACTCGATTTTAACATTATTACAAATGACCGCGTAAAAATACGGCCATTGGCCAGACCTTATTGGCTATATGTTACTATTTAGTAACGTGGGACGTCCATCTTTCGGGGTCAACTAAACTTTGTTTACTGCATGTATAGTGTGTACTCATTTCAATTAGCTGTGTGTAATTGAACGCCATATGTGTACACATGTAAGCCGACAATCATATTATCTTATTTTTGTTGTTGTGAAATCGATATAACACAAATTTAAGCTCTCTACATCAGTGTCTCCCAAAGAGTGGTACAGTACCCCTGGAGGTACGTGAAGAGATTCCCCTGGCAAAGGAACAACTACTTTTTTAAATGTTAATAAAGTATATGCATTTTTTTTAGACGAGGGTTATTTAATGTTTCGAAAATTATAGAAAGGGGTACACAGATTTCTAAATTTTGGGGAAACACTGCTGTACGTACTCCAGTGATATTAGAGACTTGTTTTCCCAGTGTTTAGCAAAGATACTGTTTAAATACCCTCGTTTTTCTAGTCGAGACCTTTAGAGTAATACTTACAACATTGTCAAGGGTACACTGTAACACTGTCACTTTATGCACTATTAGCCAGGCGAAATGAACTAGAAGACCAATACTTCATAAAATAATACGGTTCATCTTTATTCTGGGTATCTGTCACATTGATCCACCTGGTTGCAATATATTAACATAACCAAAGACTTTCTAAAACACATGATTTATCGCTCTATAATTTTCTCATGAACTCTCTCTCTCTCCCTACTCAGCTGTCTTGTAATCTCTCTATATCGCGCCTTATAATAACACATTTGTTAGTTATGATTTGTTCGATCATCCAATGACAAAAGAGCCATAATCATGCAACTCGTAACACAAAACATGAAACAATTCATTTTACAACGCTTGACACGACTCATGACACAACTCAGAGACAAAAACCGTTCCCATTAATAAAATTGATCAAAAACTGGACGGATTACATAGTGTTTGTTAATTGACTCCTTCATAGCTGTCTTCTATATCCCTTAGCTATTTGTACATTAGGCCTTATCTAGAAACCTCAAGATGGCTTTAATCAAGCCACAGCTAGATATATCATGATGGGTTTAATTTGAGATTCCAGTATCATGAACTATGAGATTCAGGTACAGGTCGTTATGACATGAGAGATTGTACGGTAAGGTAAGGGTTTAAAGTGAGTGTTCATTACAATTACGAAAGACAACACAATCTATCTCGTCACCCTGGAGCACTGCTTGGGTTTACTTTTGAAAATATATTTTTACTACGCTGTAACACGTATACCACTCACTCAGTGAATAAATCAATGACATATGCTAAACATTCACACACGAGTGCATTCGCACACATACTAGAACACAAATACCACTAACGCAATCACGTATAGCACATTCATTGGCATGTGGTCTCCACAGAACTTATTTCGTTTGAACCTTTTAGAATTGCTCAATAAAATCACAGTACAAATGGTGTAGACAACCTACGACCCGTGGGCCATTTCCGGGCCATTTGTGGGCGTTTAATCCCGCCCAAGAGATCTTCTTAAGCTGGATTAATGTTTCGTGAAGTGTTTCAAGTATGAAGGACGAAGTGTAAATGCCTTGGGAGATGAATCATCAAAAGGTGGAATAGAACTGTGATAAAACATGTAATAAATCCAGTATATTCAAATGTTTACACCTGATTATTTTTTTAAATCTTGAACTTGTCGTGAATTTTGAAAGCAAATCTTAAATAGCGTATAATAATTGTAACAGATGTGTAAATGATACGTAAAAAGTCTGATACTAACTTGTAAATAAACGAATAGCTATAAAAGCACGGGGGCAATGTGGAGCATCTTTTTATTTCATCACTATGAATTTTATTCATATTGAAGGATCGAAATTAACACTATAAATGTATGTCCGAACTGTTGCAATATAACTCTTATGACGCCAACACTTATATTAAACTTTTGGGAAAGCTCCATTACCTCTATAAATGTATTGAACCTTAAAGTAAGGCAACATGCCTCTTTTTATGGTTAGATAATCTTACGAAATTGTTCGAAACCAGTCGGCGATTAGAGACCCTTGTACCGTCCCTTTTACAGGAGTAGCTAGTCTGTGTGTACAGACCAATAGACGGCTTGAGTTGGACTGATAAATAGAGTAAGATTTAAATATACGGTTGATTTCAGACTGGAAATATGGTTGGATTTGGACTGATAAATCGAGTAAGATTTAAATATACGGTTGGATTCAGACTGGAAATATGGTTGGATTTGGACTGATAAATCGAGTAAGATTTAAATAGGCGGTTGAATATAGTCTGGTAAATCCACTAGCATTTATGGATTGAGTAAATATCCTCACAAAGCGTCATGATAAAGTACCATCCGAAACTGTCATGACAAAATACCATGATAAAATGGCAGTTTACTCCAGTTCACTTGAGCTTTATCATCCCAATTCGGACGTTCAAATAATTCTCTCACCGACATCTGTGGCTTTGTTTTGTATCTTCTTGTGTGTCTTGTTCCGAAAAACATTTAGCTTCCACTTCCTCAAAATGAACGCATGCGCCACTGTTCACTGACCAGACAACGAAGCACATCACATTACACTCACACACCCCCCCCTTCCCCACTGATGAAATGTAACAAATACAAGTACTGCACCCAGCCATTAACGCGTACACCTGTTACCTTAATGTATGTAAACGTTGTCGCTATTTCAATCTAACGGTTTAGGTGTAGCTCATGTTAACCTGACTCTGTTAATGAGGTCGGTAAAGAGGTGCAACAGATAATCTTAGCTGTGTCCAACAACTGTGATTTCACAAGTTGTTTCAACGTGTTACATTCTGCTACACAAGAACGGTGCAGTAATCTCTCTGTAATCTGATTGATAAGAAGGGCGATGTAATTAATCTCCATTTAATCTGATTGATTACAATGGTGATGTAAGCTCTCTTTAATCTGATTGATAACAATTGCGATTTAATCTCTCTTTAATCTGTTTGATAACAATGGGGATGTAATCGCTTTTTAATCTGATTGATAAAAATGGTAATGTAATCTCTCTTCACATTTAATATGAAACCTCTTGTAGATTCGAAAGGATCAGACTTGAACATCGGGGCCAAAGGTGGGATGATTTAAGACTGGTTCTGACCCAATCAAGATGCATTCTTGAGGCACAACGGTTATTGTCTGCTTAAGTAACTGGAAAGTAGCAAACTAACCTTACCCATAGGGGAATTTACTTCTCTGGACCTCCTGTAGAGTTTTGTGAAATTCGTCTATTCCCCCCGTTGTGAGCCATGGTGCACTTATCCCAAACCCTGTGAAATCTGAGCCACGATGCACTCACCAAAACAATGGACTTGCACCTCCAAAGCAGTTTGATGGAAGAACGAGCTGTCTTTCAACCGTCCAAATAAGTAACTGCTTTGAGTTAAAAAACACTACTACTCTAGACAAGCATATTGGAGTATTTTCTGCAACGTACGTCGATGGTACTCTGCAAAACTCAACGAGTACCCAGGCAGACCGAATATTGGAACATGAGCACTTTATGAATGACTAGGGTTATTCTTTTGTCCGCGTATCTTGGCCGCCGCGACACCTGGCTACAGTGTCTCATTATAATAACAAAGTCTATCCAACAACACCGTTGCCATCGTTCACGAACGCCTCACGACTATCTCTTTAATCAATACTCTTTCTCTCCACAACTCTCTCTATCCCCCAATTGCATCTACACACTTGTTTTTTTTTATTCTATTCCTGTCATCTAATAATACATCACAATAATAACAATCATGATACAACTCACGGATCAATTCATGTTCATAAAACTAACAGTGCTTCTCATACTTTTGACACCATGCGGAGGTAATATGAAGGTCTCAAGATTTTCTTTTCTATCGCCATCAAGGAACAGACTAATCCAAAGAAAAAAAAGTTTTCCTTGTGTCATAAGGAGCGTTAGGAAGGAGAATCCGTCAATAATGTAAAGTAGCGCAAATAACCACTTCGTGATACACTTGAACTTGTTCACCGTTGACGGTTACGTACGTTTTGAAGAACCGATTCAGAAAGCTTAACTGCAGCGTAAGACAGATTGATAAGGTATTAGCGATTGATATTGATCAAGTTGATATCATGAAATAGATGGAGACGGAACGCCAAAAGTGCTTCAATTTTTGGCTAGACATGTTGAAATACTACATTTTCAATGACAAATAAGCATTCATAAAGTTATCATAAAAATCTAGTGCATCATTTCCAAATTAATCAAAACGAAAAAAAAATATTACACATTGAAAGCAAAATCAAAATCACCACAAAAAAAAAACAACAACCCATTAATAGTGGCCATGTTTTGGCCCATGGTCCTTTTAGGCCACATTAACGGTGATTTTATTTTAAAATGTTAGTGCACCTCTACAAAAGTTATAGAGGAATCATCTTCGAAAAATTCAACTGTATAGGACTTGTTCTTGGAAACTAGTAAGTAGCCAGGTAGTCAAGCAAGTGTCAAAAAGTGGTATTTAGATTTGATTTATACAGTTAACACACGAAATAAATAAAATATAGACAAAAATACGAAATACGCCATGTTAATTTAGTGTTATGCTATTTCAATCTTTACTGCTTAAGTGAGAAATTAAAAGAAGTACAGATTTAACACTCGGTCCACGGTCACATAGGCGCCCTCAGACCATCCAACATGGTGACCACGAGCGTGGTCTGCCCCTACCAGAAACACGTCATCCGTCAAAGACGGACGCTGCACGGTGGATATGACGTCATCGTAACGGTATCCATATTTCCAAAGTGACCAAGACCCTCCAAAAGGATAATCTTTCCAGAACATGGATGCTGCCGACAGCGGTTCTGGGATGGATTTCCGGGCTATTCCATAAACCGTTGACAGCTGATCTAGAAGATCGTTCTTGAGCGCTTCAGTGACCCTGTTGACACCATTAGGAGAACCGCTGATGACGTTGCCTTGGGCGTTGACGTTACTTAAGTACATCGCCTTGTTTTCATCCGCGTAGCTGGCCAGTATGACGTAGGCACCGGAAGTGTTCGAGCGCCCCCAGTGGAAGAACTTACTGAAGTTCATATCGGAGTTGGTGATGTAGGAAGGGTTGGCAGAGGCGTTGCTCAACCACCAGGGCTCCGTGAAGCTCATGAAAACCTTGCAGCCAACAACCGGTCGGACTGCGTTGATAGCTTCGTTTACTCTGCCATCTCTGTCATAAATACAAAACTCGGTGGCAATAAGAAAGCATTTTAATTTATTTATTATATAAATCTCAGTGAGACATAATTTATATAGGTGAGCATATGTGTACAGGTATTTGCAAATTTTAAATAATAAACGTTAAAACCAAGCAATGGATCAAAACCAAATTTGAAATGGTCGAAAGTCTTGACCTTTTGGGTCATTCCTGGAAAGTTTTTTATAAACTCCAAACACCGAAAACAAGTAATTTCTTAAATAATTAAATTGATTACCCTGGTAACGGCAGCTTGCTCTTAACTTATTTTTTAAGGACACGATTATATTTCTACTAAGACTTTTTTTAAAAAAAAACGTTATGTAAAGTAAACTTGTGCTGTTCATTTCAAACTGAACCAAAGAACTCGAGTGTTGGTCGGTTAAACTCTTCTCGGGGTCGCATACGGCTCTTTGAAAGATACCTGTTGTACTTTCTTTTTTTTTTTTTTTTTTTTTTTTTTGAAACAAAGCTTCCATGAAAAGCGACTTCCAAAATGTTGTGTTAGTAGATATAGGTTTTAAAATTAGCTGGCCATTCAAGAAAAAAATTAAGATTCCATAACCCTAAATTAAAATTTTTTTTTTTTTTTTTTTTTTTTTTGAAACAAAGCTCCCATGAAAAGCGACTTCCAAAATGTTGTGTTAGTAGATATAGGTTATAAAATTAGCTGGCCATTCAAGAAAAAAATTAAGATTCCATAACCCTAAATTAGAATATTCAAGTTATGAAAGGATATTGGAATGATAGTAATCAATTAAAAAGGTAATATTGACACGACAATGCTTTTAATTAATTTAAGCAAGATTTTGCACAGGGGTTCTTAACCAGGGAACTGGAAGGGGTGTCATGGGTAACGAGAAGATGCATAAAATACACTTTAATTTTCATTGTACATCTATCAGAATTTGTGGGGTTGCGAGAAAAATGCTTTGAAATCGTTTTTTGGCGCGGTAAATAAATTGAAATCATGATAGGTTCAGCGTTGCAAGGAGGTTGAAGACACACCCCCCTCCCACCTCCATTTTTTATGATTTAACGTTATGTTAGTAATTTCTTTATAATGACAAACTGTTTTGATAAGATTCAATTTCCTAGAGAATCCAATCGCCCTTACAGCAGCGGTTCCCACTCCAGTGCACTGAGAGCAAACTTCGGTATGGCTACAATGACTTTCTTGGCGCAGACAGTTAAGCTTGACGCCTAGACAAAAAAAAATGACATGAGGCTAGTAAGGGTGGGTGAAATCAATGAAACAGTAGCTGGGTAATTGAATTCTGTTTTAAAAAAAAAAGAAAAAAAGATACGATTAAAAAATTCCTAAACAAAGTCTGAAAATAAATGATGTTAGGTTGATTATATCGTTAAACAGTTCTAAATTGTTTGACATCTGATGCAAATGTTCAGAATCTTTGCTCTGATCGACAAATAATGTATGTGCAGTGGCGTACGGAAGGGGGGTGGGTGGGGTGAGGCGCAGGCTGTCCACTCAAAGATGCACTTTTTCTTTACATTGAAGGGAGCGCATTTCCTGAATTCATTTGTTGTTGTTTTTTCCCCTTTTGGTAAAAAAAAAAAAAAATAACTGTGCCGTAAAAAATCTTCGCTAGCCCAGGGCTGCACAAACACTGGCCGCGTCGCTTGATGTGTGGTATAACAGGAAAGTATTCATAATGCTTCATTCATGATACCCAGTCTCTTAGGATTAAATGTCCTTAACCATCGGTGTGTAATCATTAGTTTAACGATAAACGTTTATGTTTGTTAGAAGCTTTCGCTGCTTTCTTTTCTTTAATTTTTCGATTGACCACACCAAAGATATTTAAAAAAAACAAAAAAAACATTAACTATAACATCTGTTGCTAAGGGTAATCTATCAATTAATTCTTTATAAGAAAGAACTATTATTTTAAAAATTATGTTACAGCGTCCTACGTCCAAACGCCAATTATCCTAAGTATCGGTTATTTGAAATGCCTCCGTCTCTTTTCAACATTAGCATCATACACTATGCTCATTGCCTGGCGACTTTGCTGACAATCAACGGAAAATAATTCCGACATCCCTCACACCTTTCTTGAAAAAAAACAACTAGATTCGTACGATACATGCAGTAGCCACGCTGAAACATTGCAATCGGAAACCTGGTTAATTACAAGATCTATTGAACAATGTATGGCTTCAAAGACAGTGAATTCAAATTCTAGTTAATGCTCTAATCATCTATTGTTTGAAAACGAACAGTTTTTGAAACAAAAAATGAAACACTGCTGTTTAGATAGTGCAATTTACAAATAAGGCATTTTACGTCCGCGATATTATTATCTATCCTCCACAGTACGACCAAAAAAAAAAAAAAATGATGGATTACAAAAAAATTAAATTTGGATTTAAAAAAAAACTCCCGCTTCACCATATCATTTGTGACGCCATCTATTGTCTGTGTCTGCTGGAAGGTTAGTACGTAATCGCCTGCATTGTTACGAGTGATGGACACCAGGCGGTTGTTGAGTGACAGCGCGTGGCTGTAGGTGGAGACCATTGAAAGGTGAGTAAAATAGAGTGTGAAAACATTTAACGTTTAAGTTGAATGACATGTGAGTAATATTACAGGTGAGTGATATAACAGGTGAGTAATATTACAGGTGAGTGCTATAACAGGAGAGTATAACACGATGTGATTTTAAAAAAGTGAGTAAAATAACAGGTGTGTAAAAGAACAGGTGAGTAAAACCGCAGGTAATTAAAATAATTGACCAGTAATATCGATTAATTGCCAGACTGAAGCTGCACGTAGATAACATAAATTACGTTGCAGACCAGTGCAACATCTGCCTGGTACATGGACAACGAGGACGTCAGCATCGATGCGAAGTTCTATCGATAGGAACTATTGCATCATTGCATGTTTAAACAATCAAAACAGTTCCTTAATCCAAAACATTAAAATCATTACGTGACCAAAAACATTGTGCATCTCAAATTGTGTGCAGGTGAACCCCGCTATACCGCGCTCCACTGTAATGTGATAATCCCCATACAATGAGTTCACGGCATGTCTCCCTTAATTTCTTATATTCATTTGTGATTGAATTGTTCGTCTTTCCAGGTACGTTAGAAATAAGAACTCAAAATTACATTTAAGTACAATACATTCAGATATGTTTTTAAACTTTTCGTTCTGGTATATCGAGCCTGGTGATATTTCATAGCTTCAACAAATTTTTTTCGGAGATGAGCAAACGTCTGTATTAATTCTAAAAATGTCATAAAAATGGCGATCTGGTCGTTTTTTTATCACATACAATATATATATATATATATATATATTTTGTACACATTTTTCTTTTGGCTTTTGGGTACTTTTCTTGCAAGTTGGTGGGCAGTGCCCAACCAAATTTAAAACTGTCTTAAAAAAACACTGGTTTAAATCATGACATTATAGCAACACGATGTCACGACATGCTCAATTCTGACCTGTCACTGGCATTTAAGAAAGCTCGGATCATTCCTTGTGGTACCGCCGACATGCCTTCCTTGATCTGGTAGACGACATAATTGCCTCTGTGGGTCAAAATTAGCAGTGTAAAATCAAAATGTAAAAACATGACAAAATCAAACATCAAATTAGAGAAAAAAAGTTTTTGAACAAATAAATTTTTTCGTCAAATATTAATGGTAGTACCAGTAAATATATTATATAATCTATGGGTGTTTTTTTTTAAATATACAGTTAAGTACTGAATGCGGGATGAGGCTTATTTGGAATTGAGACGAGGTTAGAGGCCCTATTATGAATTGATGCTTGATGAGAGACCATGTTGTGGAAAGAGGCAAGATTTGAGACCTTATTGGAAATAGAGGGGCTAGGTTTCAGACCTCAAATTCTTAATTTGCCCGGATATCAAGTTTTCCAAAATTCGCTATTAAACTATTATTTGTCCTCATAATTCTTTGCTCGAATTTCGCAATTTATGTATGTCTGGTGCCTTATAGAATCGTATTGCAACAAAGGCTTAATCATCAACAAAAAATGTCATTAAATTGTTTAATTAACAAAATGCCCTCACGAATAGGGCCCTAAGTTGCTCTCCAGGAGTGTTAGGAAACTGGTGTCAGGGGCCGTAGCATAGTCAAAGAGGTCAATAGCCTTCAAGAACTCCTTGCCGTCGGGCGTGGCAACCATGTCCAGGGCCTCGTTCACACTGAGGGTAAAGATGAAGACTTTGAACTCGACATATCATTTATTAAGATAGTGCTCTGATTCTATTAATTGTTAATTATAATACTCCATGCCCGATTAAACAGTTATATTAATTCCAATAAGTTGATAATTTTTCCTTCAACCGTAATGCTGAATTAGATTAACATTTTTTTAATTAAACTTATAAACAATACGTAGACATCAAATATGATGCCTTATACCTTAGAGAAATCCCTAGAAATATTTGAGTCGATTTTCGAAGTGTTAATCGATGAGAACCACTGTGCGAATGCTTTTGATGAGCTGGCTTTTAAGTATGATTTCAAGTTTACTTTCTAAGTAGAAAAGACAGCTCCGTCGTTGGTATTTAATCTAACAGGGCGTCAGTTAGTCAACATAAGAAACTTTGAGAGCAGTCTTTTGTAAGCGCAGACACGTGTCTGAATGTATGTTCATAGCAGTCTTTTGTAAGCGCAGACACGTGTCTGAATGTATGTTCATAGCAGTCTTTTGTAAGCGCAGACACGTGTCTGAATGTATGTTCATTGGCAGCGCCGTACGTCACCGTGTATATGCATACATATTATTTATATGTTTGTGTTTATGCGCGTGCTTGTGTGATTTCACACATATTTCACACATATTTCACACATATTTCACACATATTTCACACATATTTCACACATATTTCACACATATTTCACACATATTTCACACATATTTCACACATATTTCACACATATTTCACACATATTTCACACATATTTCACACATATTTCACACATATTTCACACATATTTCACACATATTTCACACATATTTCACACATATTTCACACATATATACCAAAGCTATATTGGACAGATAGATCTGACTAATCCACAATTGTACATGATGTAACCCTTACTATAGTGTGTTCCACATACTTATATATCGTGTACGGATATCGACCAAGTCAACATACACACGATATATTTTAGAGATATATAAACTTTCACAGATACATACGGAATTATGTAAAGATACAGATGACAATATCAAACATAGGTGACATACGGTATTCTATGCAGGTATCTACCGTCTGCGACTTTCAGCTGCATTAGGATGTCCTGGTTGACCTCCGTGCCGTTGTAACCTGTGAGTTTCTCCAAGTAATACCTGGCAGGTGGGAGAAGGGGGTGGTAATTATATGATTATATGTGGGGGAAGGTGTGATGCTTGTATATGAGGATGATACAGTACGCATCTATTAACAGTTGCTTTGACAGCTATACACATAACTATTAAATTAAATAAGCTTTACACATTTACAATTATTCAACAACATCTTATATAATAGAATATAAGGCATAACATAGTATAGCAAGCATCATACGGTACAGGAGAATATGTAGTATACTGATTATAGTATATCACAGAGAAGGTAAATTCTGAATTCCAACCCGGGGAAAGAGTCCCGTAGGCGGTATAAAATTGACGCAAAGAAAATTCCGAAAAGTACTGCAACGTATCGTTGAAAGCATAAAGAGAAGAGAATAAGACAAAATAAAAACTGTTGGCCATACACTGTGCAAATTCAACAGAGAAAATTATTGATTTATTTAGTCTAGTATAGTACAGAATAATTTAAAATAGTATTGCTTTCTCCTGTAGCAGATTTAAGTTAAATCGATTAAAATCCAAAGATTCAGTATTATATATATATATATATATATATATTGCTTCCGGTGAGGCTGCTTTCTTTTCACAACATGTGTTATACAAAAATATTATTTAATGTGTTCTTAAAAAATGAGATTGTGCTAGTCCTTTCAACGATAGTTCATACTTAATTTCCCTGTTAAGGCTATGAACTGTGGCCTCTGTATGGGACAAGCAAAGACAACCCTAGTAAAAATGATGGACAATCAGCCCCCTTTAATGTGTTACTTGCTATTAATAGCGTCCCCACAAGACTTTAGTCTTACAAATAATTGTTTGAGTATTAGTTTGTTTGTTTTGTATAAAGTCTTACCTAAATAGTCTCCCTTGGTTGGCTTTCTCCTCCGGGCTCAACTTGAAAGGGACATCACCCGACTCTACTTGCTCCGGTGTTAAACTCTGACCCCTGAGGTGAAACCGTGTTTGTGACGACTTCCCGTGCTTCTCGCTGAATACTTCTCTCGTGAGTCCTGGGAAAGTGTTACAGAATCTTGAGAACCAGCTTCAACAAAGTTCAACTCGAATATTTACGAATAAATCTCAATCTTTCAATACGCTTGTTCAACTGCTGCTCACAATAGAATCGCGAAAATACCTGTAACACACTTCTACTCTGACATGGCGTGGGATGTTATTTCTTATGCTGTGGGTTATGTCAGTAGTATGGTTACTTATATTAACGCTTCAGGATGCCGACTCAGTCTTCTTCATTCTTTCACTTATTATTCAGGCACGTAAAGAAGAATGCTCAATTCTAGTTAAAACTCACAGTACTTTATTGAACACACTTTATATTGATAATATTAATAAATAATCCTTGCATGAATGTAATTTCACATATATATCTATAGTATTCCATCATTAAGAAAGACACGTCCTCAGACTACTATAACTCAGCTCAACTGTCTAATCTCACAGCTCTCACGCTAATGACTGACTCTACTGCTCTGCGCTCAGCTCTCTACTATCTCAGTCAACTCATACTTTATTACCAGCAAAGCGTGCAAAACGACCGCTCTGACAAAACATAATTTTACTCTCCAAAAACGTGGAGTTCACATTTGTTCTCAAAAATACAATCCACATTGATTGTCTCTCCCCGTGGAAAAACCTGGTGAACACACTCACTGTCCACTCATGCTACCTCTCAGTTTACATGTGAAAACATAGTCCGTTACAATACCATATTTATTTTTCTTCTTCTTTTTTTTTTTTTTTCGGCCCCTTAAAATCCGAAAGTGAGTTACTTCAATAAATTTTCCGTTTTATATATATCGAATCTAATGAATGTTTAAGGAGATAAACAAAAAATTTATTAAAAAAAATTAAAATAAAAGTATAAACACTGCATAAAGTATTTATAAATTTCACAAATCTGTTCAAAGACCACCCGGCATTGAAGAGAAGCACGGGTTCGTTAGCTAGTTTTCTTTTTAAACTGAAATAAATATCTTTTAAAAGTATCTAATCTTACGCAAGTTGTTTTTCTTTTACCTCTGCATCTTAGAATTTTTCGCTCTTTATTCGACTGTAAATCTTTTTTTAAAGATATATATTTTCAGCATAATTTACCTAAAGATAATTTTTTCTTTTTTTTTTTAATTCTACTTTTTGTCAACGTTCACGTCATGTCCATAGCTTTACCATTATAAAGAAATTGATATCTTCATACCACTGATAATAAATACTTATTAATGTAACATTGGCAACGTTCAAACAAAAGAAAAGAAAACCTACCAAATGCGTCGACCAATCCCTGTACCGTGGAGTGTACATCTGGTTTGTACCTCATAGCTCCGAAATCGATGGGCAGATCCGGGGCATTTGGTAGGTATGACGTGTACAGCCGGCCCCCGATACGGTTCGAGAATTCGAACACCTCGATGTTCATCTTCTGGTTCCGGAGTCGGTAGGCGGCGTAGGCTCCCGCGGGCCCCGCCCCAACAATGGCGACATCGACACTCCTCCGACACACCTCTGTGAAATATAAGGACAAAATCTGAAATATTGTATACCCCGTACTACTTATCGAGATAAGGCATGAGATATTCAACTCTAAACGACTGCGAAATAGTTAGGATATACGATTACATAATGTTAAATGAATAAGACTCTCAAATAATTGGGTATATTCAATTCTGTTATATTTAAATAGTTACGAATCCGACTTTGAAGTAGGCAAATATGTAAGACTCTGGAATTGAAATCGAATCACTACATTTGAATGACATTTGAAAAAAAAAAAATCTAGGCTTTGATTTAATACCGGCCTCCAAGTGGGACAAGGTACGAAAAAGTTGAATCTAATGACAAAAAATAACTCATCCCCCCAACCCTTTTTTTTTCCAAACTAAATCCGCCACAACCAAAGGAAAATAAAATATAAATAAATAAATAAACATGGTGTTTAGAGCATTTAGAGAAAGAGCCAATATCCATAGTTTTTCTTTTGTTGTTTTTTTTTAAATTTAAAATGCGAAACAACTTTTTTTTTCATTTAGAGATCATATGCACTAAATTAGAAAATACTTTCCATCGACCTGTCGTTCCGATGTTTGTGCGTTGGCATCACTGCACAGGAGTGTGAGAACCCCAAGTACTAAAGCCTGTAGCATCATGATGGTGTAGGACATGATCAGACTGGATTTCAAATCATAAAACAAATCGTGATTACTAAACTAAATACATAATATGACATATTTTTGAACGCTTGTATTTTCTGCACGATTCAATCTTTTTCCTTATTAACAAACCGGCAGATTTCCCAGCCGAGAGATATTTTACCAAGTTTCCTAAGCACGAGACGTGTCAATGGAAGCCTTACCAGAGTGCTCCCCCCGAGGGCACAAAATCTAAATGATCACTAATAATTAAGTCCCTTTTATGACTAAGAGAACGAATTGATTGGCTGGTTTGTAAATTATTTAAAATTGTAGTCTAATGTTTAAATTGTTTTACTTGTAAACTGTGATTTTTTTTTTTACTTTATTAAAATGTGTATTTGCTTATGTGCTGAAAATGTATATGTAAAATGTAATCAAAAACATTTCCATGCATTTCGATCCAAAAAGGAAACGTATCTTATCTATCTTATTAATGGTAGCCTAAAAAATTGTACTCCTTGTTTATTGTGAATATACATCCACGGCGCTGGGTGGCTGAACCATTTATACTTAACCAATCCGCATCGTAGACAAGCAAAAACAACACCAACTTCTCGGGTAGATGGGACCAGTTAACTTCTGCTGGCAAATAACCTTATAGAAAGGAAAGTCTGCAATTAAACCCGTACATAGAGTGCCGTGTGTGTTATGGCATTGACACGATGAAAATTCTGACGACTTTTGGGAACGCTTAAGAGCCCACTGGGCCCCAAGCCTTACCGCTTGTCATGAACGGTATCATGGTCTAGTTCCAGTCGCCTTGAACGAGCCTTGCTATTAGATCAAACTAAGCAAGTGCGAAAGAGTGAGGCTGACGAATCGAGCGCCTCACTCTCACTTTAAAATAAATACAGCTCAAGTCACGGTGACTACACGAGATGACGCCTTGGTTACATTCACGTTCGAAGTACGAACTGTTATTAAACGAATATTTGTATATTCGGGGGATTATAGTTGTTAGTTGATGTTAATTTTTGTTATCCTTGTGTATTGGATTTTATAAATTTTTTTTTATTGTAATTTTAATATTGTAATTCAATTCAGGATTATTAACAGCTTTGGTTTCGTTTTTATGTGTATACTTTTTTTCAGTAGCAACATAAATAAACACGACTCAAGTACTGCCCTATTTTTTTTAACACTTGTGCATGTTGAAAAACCAACAACAAAAAATTCAGCATTTTTAACAAAGCGGTCTTCTGATTGAGCAAATATTGTAGAAATGCCAAGGGGTAAATTAATGTATTTCTTTATTTTGGATCTGAAAAAGGGAAAACAGCAAACTATAATATCACTTCGTACGAAATGTGTTACTTTAGCACGCTAAAGGAACTAGAAGTCTTAACTTTTGCCTGCATAATGAATTAGAAGTCTTACTTTAGCACGCTGAAGGAACTAGAAGTCTTACTTTGACATACATAATGAATTAGAAGTCTTACTTTAGCACACTGAAGGAACCAGAAGTCTTACTTTGACACAGAATGAATTAGAAGTCTTACTTTAGCACGCTGAAGGAACTAGAAGTCTTAATTTGACACGCAGAATGAATTAGAAGTCTTACTTTGGCAAGCAGAATACACTAGAAGTCTTACCTTGGCAAGCAGAAAGAATGATGGAATATGTCATGTAATGAACGATAGCATATGATAAAATATTTGATGTAATGAAAAAATGTAATATATGACGTAATGTATAATGCTAAATGCGATGTAATGAATGATTCAACATATGCGGAGTTTGACCTGGTGGTACGATCCTGTGACACTAATTTTTTTTTTGGTGGCATTATCGGTCTTCTGCCATACGCTTAATATAGCTTTTTTATATGCATTTTGAATGCATTATGTTTTCTTGTTAACTTTGAGGTTGGTAAAATTAAGGACATGCCCCCCCCCTTTCATATCCCCTCGCGTGACAAAACTCTTTCGGCTTCACCTGCAAACAATCTGTACAGAGTGTATTGTGTATTAGATGAGAGAACAACCTATGTTCATAACGTTACAGATAAAAAGATGTAAATGAATTTTAATTACATCCTTTTAGAGTGTGTCACAGATCTAATACTCAGATATCAATTTTGTTTCGTAAAATAATGTATTGTTTCGTAGAATAGAAATAACAGGAAGTTAAGGAATTATGGGATAGAAGTAACGGACAGTGCTGTCTGGAGGGATTTCTTATCTTCGACGCTGGCCATGTTCATTCTAGTTATTGATCAATATCTTAATATTGATTTGTAAAATGTACCGAAGAAGTTACACAATGTGAAACTTATATTTTACTATGATCTTCAGCGATATTATTCCATGTGATGTGCTGTATTCAAGTAATAATTATATTGTGATGCAAAAGTTATAAGTCGTGTTTTACTATTAACTATTAATGGACGTCTGTGATTGGACATAAACAATACTCGTCAATCATTGCAAGTAACGTCACCATAATATATATATATATATATATATATATATAAGGTGCATTACAGAGTGCTTCTGTTAAACAAAATGTGATTTTTTAAATGTTTTTTTTTTAAATATTTTTTAAATTTTTAATTGCTGTTCACACAACTCTTAAGTTTAGACTACTATAGGAAACTTACTAAAATACATACCAGTTGATGCTGTGTTTAAAAGACAATTTATTCATTATCGCCCCATGGTTTCGAAGCAAAGCTGTTTTATCTAGGGGTTGAGAGTAGGATGGAAAGGCCAAAATCTACAATCTGTCAAGTCCTTGCCAAATATTGATTTTGCAATACTTTATTACATAAGACATGGGGGCTTTAAGCCTACACAGTCACAAACAGACAAACAGGAATGTGCTTGCGGACACAGAGACACACACATTCATAGTGTCGCACACAAATACACACTCCGTTCATGTAACAACACAAAGACACTTTAACACCAATAAATGTCGCCCAACTCATACGCATTTTAATTACTTAGACAAGAGAAGTCCATATCAAACAAAAACTTCATGGGCCCTGTTTTGGAGTGAGTTAAAGTTTTGTGGCTTATGCCTCACTATAGGCAGTGTATGCTTTGTATCTATTCCTTACACACTTATTCAAATGAAAAACTAATTTTTTTTTTCAAATAGCTATTTTGATAATATTCGCTGGCTATATTTTAATGAACTTTTCAAAACTTACGCCCGTGTCAACTGAATAAAGAACGAAGAAATTACCAACATAAAATTTCAAGAATGCGTTCTTTCTTTCTTTTTTTTTTAAAAAGCTTGCTTTTTACTGATAAATCCATGGGGCCTCTCACTTTAAAGCATAATTTTTGCTGTTGTCAAACTTGACCCTCTCGCTCAGTTGATCGGGGTTGATCCCGTCTTCTTTGTACAGAGAACGGCAGGAGAAAGGGGGAGCTCATGTGAGAGTTGTAGAAATGTGAGGATGGGTGGTTTGGGAGAGATTGGGGTCATGGCACGTGGCAAGCAGACACGGGTCAACGGATGTCACGAGACCAATGGGGGAAAACCCGTCAAAGTCAACTTTGTTATGTGTATGCCAAGGTTGTTATGTGTATGCCAAGGTTGTTATGTGTATGCCAAGGTCAAGAGTTGAATCACTTTAAACGGGCTTTCTTAGCCATTTGTTGGTTTTTTTTACAACAACAAAAAATAAAAATTAATGTTTGGTCGAAAAATTAAAGATTAAAAATTGATAACAAAAGAATCTCTCTCTCTCTCTCTCTCTCTCTCTCTCTCTCTCTCTCTCGATATAAATATATGTATATATTAAAGGGTTCAAGGAAAAAACCAGTGACGTCAGTTTTTTTAAATTTATAAATATAATGAATGTTCAAAAAGGCTTTCTGTCATAAATGTGTTTCAACACATTAAAAATTAGAAAAATATTTTTTTTTAAAATGTCATTATGCAATGAAAGAAAATGCTGAAAATGATCTTTTTTTAAAAATTAAATAAATTTAAGTTTCGTCTTAATTAAATGCTAATCCAATGGCTTCATATAGTATTTTCTACACTTCTGCACATACTTGTTGTGCGTCAGTATTTTAAGAAACTTTAAATAATTCTCTATCTTGTAGGGCATTTCAAATCGTCTTTGATGGAAAAAAAATTTTTGTGCAATTATTTATTATTTTTTTAAATTTATTCTTTTATCCTCGAGTACGGGGTGTTTAAAAATTTAGCTAACATAATTATGAACATTTACATTTGTATTTCTTTTTATTTGAAGCATACAGCTTCACCGACTTTCAAATGAAATGACACGCCACTGCAACCCAACACGTTACAAAATAATGAAAAATATATTTACTGTTGCGAAACTTTTAATGCGAGCACCTGTTACCTTAATTAACTACAACTTAACCAGGGTAATAATTTTACGAAACAATGCACAACGGATATGTTATATGTAGGGGGGACGAACTTTGTTTATTATAATTCTCGTCGTTTCTATCTCACATTAGTTTATTTTATTAGAACGGCCGTTCAATGGCGTATGCAGGCCTTAACCAAGATTTTGACAAAAGAAACGTCGTTGATGGCATAGGCGTCACCACTCATCTTTGTTACAGTAATTGGATGTAGAATGTCATAAGTGGTGAGATGTCGGTAATTATGAAGGATTTATGAATTTAATTATTATTTTTCTTTTTGGATAGATGTGTCCCTGGAATTGTGTAAGGTTGATAACACGTATTCTCGGCCATGGAAATTGTCTGGATCCGGAGATCCACTTTCATGTCTTCCCTTATATCGGTTATACAATTTTTTTTTTTTAAAATCAAGATTTTACGTTGCGATTAGTTCGGCATTGAACGTTTAATGTACATTTGTAATTTGTGCACACATTTTAACGTCATTCGTGCGCACGTTGCGTTTGACAGATTGGCTCCTGAAGGAAAACATTGCGTTTTAGCGCTAAATTCTGCTGCCCACTCGAGGTCCGGTGAGAGTAAAGACCACCATGGGCGGCGCCTCTGATAGTTTTACTTAGTTCAGCATTCGATTCTGTCAGCACCATTAAACGGAATGATGTATCCTGGTCTCGAGCACCTATTTTGTTTCACTTTTTTCAATTAATTTTTTTAGAAAAACCTGAAATACAAATTTTTATGTCTTTTTACGTTGCGTGATAATTTTTAATTAATTTTTTTAAAATTTTGTATTTAAAAAATAAAACTATCTTCAGTACAATATGTAAGGGACTTCATTTAAGCCCTGTGCATGAAATATTAGAGCGATATGTTTAAAAACTCACTTAAGGACTCCTTACCAAAAACCCCAGCCTCTTACACTTTGCCGCCTTCTTTACAACCACGGATACTTTCTAGAGAGCGCTCATGAAATAAGGGATATCTTCCGCTCCAGATATTATGCTAAGACCACCCTTGTTTATGTACTCGATCGCTTAGGCATTATTACAAGGAATCATTGAATCAGATCTATTTGAATTTTTACTTCCATGTGTGATTGAGCCAAACACATCTTCGTGTACAAACCCAACTTCATAATTTCTAAATCATATCTTTATAAAAATCGTATCACACATTCGGTCGACACCGACATATTATTCAGAGCATGATCGTCGTCAGCTACTTTGATTTTCTTCAGATGGGATACAAAATGTATGTGTCCGACTGGTTCACAGTCGTCTTCGAGCTGACCAGTCTAACGCTGGGGCTAAACAATGTGTACGAAACATTTGTCGAATTTACAATTAAGTGCTGGAAACTAAAAGAGGATAACTAACCCGAAGGAGACTTTCCTTCAAGGAGGGCTCCAAATGTATTGGTCACAATGTGATCTACACGTCTGTTTGACGAAGGAACCGCTGCTGACATACAGATGAGAAAAAAATAAGATCATCAGGCGGATTCAATGAATTTTAAGTTCATTTTGAAACCATGACTAACACAATGGCATATCAGTTGTATATCCATCACGGCAAAAAAGTTCTTACGCTCAGTTCACACGATCAATTTTTGGCCAACTTTCTTCAAGTTTGCGTCAAATTTCTTTTTGAGCAAACTTTTTTTTAAATAACTTAAAAAATGCGTTCAAAAAGAACTTGTTGGCGAATTAGACGCACATTTTTAAAGCAAATTTGACGAAACGTTGATCGTGTGAACTAAGCATTACACCAATACACTAGCCACCAGAGTACAGAAGCAAAACACAATTTGGCAACATAAAACTATATATCAAATCAATCGAATACCCTCTTACCAATTGTCATCGAATTCCGCCTTATATCTAATTTTATTTTTATCTTGCTAACTTTATCTCGAATTTTTATCACTTCATGTTAATTTCATCTGAATTATTTTACTTTCTTTAGCCTCCTTGGTAAAAATTACGTTTTGGATTTCGACAACTTCCTGTCACTAATATGTTTAACGGCTTCTGACACTCGATGTAGTTCTTATTCTCGATTTTTCCCTACTTATTCTATCTGATTATGAAGTCTCTATCTAAAACATTCTTTTCTCTGCCGATGAAAGCCTCTAGCCAAAGCTTTTTTTCTCTGCTGATGAAAGCCTCTAACCAAAGTCTTTTTTCTCTGCTGATGAAAGCCTCTAACAAAAGCATTTTTTTCTCTGCTGATAAAAGCCTCTAGCCGAAGCCTTTTCTCTGCAGATGAAAGCCTCTATAAAACAACTTTCTTTCTTTCCTCTGCTGATCAAAGCCTCTTGCGATAACCCTCTTTTGTGTATCCTGATCAGGGTTTCTTCTAGCTTTAAATATGTTCTACCGTTTCACTCACATGGCTTGAGCGCAGTCCCTTTGCACAGTATGATCTCAACTTTTTTTTCTCTTTTCATTGATGTATAATTGAACTATTTAACTTACCTGGGTTTGAAATGACTTGTCTTCCATCTCATTTATTAGATCATTATTACAAACAACTCCCTCACAAAAAAGATAATTTACGCTTTGCAGTGAAAATTAATCACACATTATTTGCGTTTTAAAATTAGGGAAATACCCGGGTATCAATTAAAAATTACATTATTGTTCATTAAAAATAATTTTTAAAATATCTCTAATTGGTAACTTTTTAGGTTCACAATAAAAACATGTAATTTATAAATAGCCTACTAATGCTCCAAATACTATATAACTTTAAGTAACTCATAAATCTGAAAAAAAAGTCAGGAATAATGAAATAAGCAACTCTTATTAAGTCATCTGGTATTTTTTATTTGAACTGCCCTAAAAGGACACTAAAAGAAGTAAAGATCCAACACTCTGTCCACGGTCTCGTAGGCGCCCTCAGACCATCCCACATGGTAGCCACGGGAGTGGTCTGCCCCTACCAGAAACACATCATCAGTCAGAGATGGACGCTGCACGGTGGATATGACGTCATCGTAACGGTACCCGAACTTCCAAAGCGACCACGAGCCCCCGAAAGGATAACCTTTCCAGAACATGGATACTGCCGACAGCGGTTCTGGGATGGACTTCCGGTCTATTCCAAACACCTTCGACAGCTGGTCCAAGATATTGTTCTTGAGCGTGACCGAGACCCTATTTACAGTATTTGGAGAGCCGCTGAACACTTTGCCTTGATAGTTCAGGTAATCGAGGTATTGGGCCTTGGTTTCGTCCGAGTAGCTGGCCAGCATGACGTATTCACCGGAGCTGTTGGAGCGCCCCCAGTCGTAAAACTGGCTGAAGGTCAGATCGGAGTAGGTGATGGGGGCTGCGTTGGTTGAGGCGCTTGTCAACCACCAGGGCTCTGAGAAGCTCATGAAAACCTTGCCGCCGACGACAGGTCGCACGGCGTTGATGGCTTCGTTGACCCTCTCGTCCCTGGAGACAAATATTAGAGGTTGGCACTACACGTAGATTATCAGCCGTTATAATTCAAGGTCATTATTTTGTATTCACGTAA